ACTCTATATTGCAGGGGTTGGCAAACTTTGGCTCTGGCCTGTAGGGTAAGCCGCTAGCGGGCCTAGAAGTTTTGTTTACTTGGAGCATCTGCAGGCATGGAACCCCTCAGCTCCCAGTGTCTGCGGTTTGCCGTTCCCAGCCAATGGGAGCTGCGGGAAGCGCCAGCTCCCAGTGTCCAGAGTTTGCCATTCCCAGCCAATGGGAGCTGCGGGATGCGCCACTTCCTGCAGCTCCCATTGGCTGGGAACGGCAAACCACGGACACTGGGAGCTGAGGGGCTTTGTGCCTGCAGATGCTCCAAGTAAACAAAACGTCCCGACCCGCTAGTGGCTTCCCCTAATGGGCTAGGAGCCAAAGTTTGCCAATCCCCGCTATATTTCAAAAGCTGCCATCATAAGAAACACTCAAAAGTTTTGCTAGAATTATTTTAATGTAATCTAACGAAAAAGCTGTTGTTGTTATAATAATAACTGAACAAATATGTATTCACCTTCAAAATGACAGTCAATATTTAAAATCAGTAAATGGATATTTAAAACAAGTAACTTAGAACAATATGAGACTTTAGAAAGTCTTAAAAGTCCTTCAAAGTCTGAATCAGTCTCTGATTCACCAAACAGTTCATTAAACTCGGCTTCAGTCACAGTTGCATCTGCACTGTCATCATAGATGTCGGCAGTGTCGTCTTCAGACTCATATTCCTTCTCATCATCAGCCTCTGTTGTGCCATCATCATCAAATATGGCATCATCTTCTGACTCGTTGAGTGCATTGCTGATACAGCATTTCCTAAACGATTTTTCTATCATTTCCGAGCAAATGGACAGCCAAGCATACTTGATCCACTGGGCGACCAGATTGATTTCGGGCTTCCTAAGATTCCCGCCTTTTGTCAACTTCGCCATGCCGGAGCACATCCATTCAGACCACATTTTGCGTAGCCTGTCTTTAAAGGGTTTGTTCTGGCAGACATCAAGCGGTTGTAGAACTGAAGTTAAGCCTCCAGGTATTGCAGCCAAAGTAGTTTTCATATTTTTGGCCACATTTTTCACCTCATCCATCTTGTGTGTGCCCTGAACATGTCCCAAATGAGCATAGCAGGTTTCTTGAAAAGTGCTCCTGGGTCTCTCATTCCACACTTTTCTCAGCCATTCAATAGTCCCACTTTCATCCATCCATCCCTTTTCGTGTGCACATACGATGACACCAGCAGGAAATTTCATGTTTTTAGGCAAGGTTTTTCTTTTAAAAATAACAACAGGAGGGAGCTTTGATCCATTTGCCAAATATGATAAAACCACCGTAAAATGGATTTTTTCATGGTCAGTGGTTTTAATTAAAACTCTTTTTTCACCAACACCGGTTACCATTCTGTTGCTCGGGAGATCGAATGTCATTGGTGTTTTGTCCATATTTCCTATTTGTGACAGTTCAAATGCATATTCCTTTCGATATTTTATAATAAATCTTTGGAAAGATTCGATTTTTTCTTCCAGATCTTGGCAGCTTTTGCACTATCTTTGTTCGCTGACGAAGACAGAGACCATGACGGTTCATGAAGCGAGTGCACCAACCCGCTGATGCAACAAACATTGATGTCTTTACTGACTTGTATTTGTCATCTTTTGACATTTGCAGAGCATGCAGATGAATTCCAGATCTAGTGACAATGTACCCATTTTGTCGACATTCAACAACCCAATTATTGAGATCTTTCTCTAGCTCAGGAAATGAAGCGCACTTTGTTGGACATTTTTTCTCACTTCTTGGCATGTCTTTTAGTGTTGTTTTATTTTTTCACCATTCTCTTACTTGCTTCTCATTGATACAGAATTCACGAGCAGTGGCGCAATTATTGTTTGGTTCTGCATATTTAACAACTTTAAGTTTGAACGCTGCATGATAAGCAGACCTTTTTCTTTTGATTTCACCGTTGTTCATTTTAAATACTAGTATGAAAATAGATTATTATTATTGTAGTTATAGATTTTGTAGGACTTTATATAGGAATGTCACATGCTTTATCACTGTCAAATTATTATTGTTCTTTGTTTATTTCAAAGCAGCCTTGTAGATAGACTGTTATCCCCACAGACATGCCAATTTCAATTTTATTAGAGATTCCATTGATTCTGCACGTTATATTTTCATATTGGCTCGAGACTTATGAGGTCCAATGGTAGAAATGCATGAAGAGATCAAATTATATAGTAGCGGACTGACACCAGTGCTATAGTACTATCATTCATTGTATTTTTCTGATTGGTTTGTAAGGTGTAGCATTTTGTGAAATGCATGGGTCAAATGTCATGCAGATCTGCAGCACTGCTCTTTTAGTATTCCTTTAAAGCCAATCTAGTCCACTAAACAAAGCCTTTGCAACTTTAAAAGGCTTCAGTATTGACATCAATAAATGGGTCGGCAAACTTTGGCTCCCGGTCAGGGTAAGCCGCTGGCGGGACGTTTTGTTTACTTGGAGCATCTGCAGGCATGAAGCCCCTCAGCTCTCCATGCCTGCAGACACTCCAGGTAAACAAAACGACTATGTATTAGATATTCAATGATTCCATAGAGTTTAAAATCATCAAATTGGTGTAGACTCGTTTATATGCCGACCCCTGCTCTTTAATGCCTCACTTTTTTACCAAAAATATTCAGCTTATGAACAAGTATATACAGTATGTTGTGCTTTCAGTTACACATTAATGGGGGTAAGCCTGAAGATGTGCAATCTGTGCTTGTTTAGTAAGAGAAAGGAACAATTAATGAAGAAATTAACATGAAATTTTGTTTCTAAAGGTGATGAACAGAAGAGGTCATTTGAAAAGAGAGAGCTCTTTCCACAAAAACACACATACACACAGGTGACCAGATGTCCTGATATTAGGGGCTTTGTCTTATATATGCAACTATACCCCTCTGCCCCCGCTCCCCCAAAGTGTCCTGATTCTTTACACTTGCTATCTGGTCACCCTAACCACACACACACACACTCTCTCTCTCTCTCTCCTCCCCCGTCCCTCTCCAAAAGAACTCTAAAAGATAGTTTATATCCATTGAAATCCTTTCAGTAAATGAGGAAAGGAATTATTAAGGGAAGGACATTTTAGTCATGTCAGTAGGTGTTTTGAGCCTGTAATTTTGTGCATTCTCTTAATTCACTTCAAATATGAAGATGTTTTGACAACACACAAAGCAGATAACCTCTTTATAACTCTTTTACCTTTACATCACAGGTGAGGTAAATTCTCTTTAACTTGATTTTAAGGAGACAAGATATTCTTTGAAAGGTGTCAGACCACCATGTTGATGGTTAAAGCTATGTTAGAGCATAGACACAGATTTGACCTGTTGAAGTATTAAGAGATTTCTGAAACAGGTGGTGCAACAGGTGAGCATCCAAATAATATATAACTCAGCGCATCTAGAAGGAAATTGTTGTATCTTTCTCAGTTGTTTAATATTAAAAGATGTTTATTTCTGTTCTATCCAGTGTAAACTTTCAATAAATACTTCTTTTGTTTTATCTAAGATGAATTGGTGTTGGTTGTTATATTCTAGGAAACAATGATGGCTGATGCTTCTGAACAAAATAGATCTGTCATGTTAAAGGAGGCAGGGAACTATTCATGACACTTCATCTTTAAGGATATTGGGGAGAAAGAGAGGGCTGCAGTCTTTCTTAAGGAGTAGTGCCTCTGTATATCCTTAAGGCACACAAGGACTAAACAGTGTTAGGGGTGAACCACTGTTACACCCTACTTTTCATTTGTTCATTCAGTTTAAAAAAACAACAAGATAAACACTTCCCTATTGAGTGGAAACTTCTCATGTTTATTTTCTCAACCAAAAGGTGGATTTTATTTTTGCAAGTTTAAGCATAATTGACTCAGCCACTTGAGTTGGCTAAGCAAGAAAAACAATGTTTAAAAAAAATTCTCAGTGGTCTAATTGCATACACATAATGGATGGTGGGGGGTTTTTGTTTTGTTTTGGGTTTGGTTTGGTTTGGCTGCTATTGCTATTGTTTGCTATTGGTTGGTGATGTTTTGTTTGTTTTGGGGTTTTGGCAGCTTTTAATTTATGAGAGTAGGAAAAAAAGACAGTCACGTGGTTAGATCACAGGACTCAGAGCCAAGAATACAGCCTAGCACTCCTGCCTCTGCCACTGACTTACTGTGTGATTTTGGGTAAGCTTCTTTGCTTCACTTTTCCTATATGTGCAATGGGGATGATCAAAACTTCCTTGCAGAGATATTGTGGGGCATAATTGAATGCTTGTTAAGCACTTTGAGATCCTTGGCTAAAACATGCTACGTACATTCAAAATGTTACTGTGGCCAAATACAGTATTAGCTTGCATTTGGCTGTAGGCGATATAATAGCTTCAGAGAACTCCAAAACCAGAATTACACAGGAGTAAAACAGGAGTAATGCAGTGGTGAATCTCTGTCTTCTTGGTTACCACAAATTGGATTAGATTCCATGTGAGCCACCATGCTCTTTAATGGTGGGATTTTTTTAAAACCAAAACTCTATCACCTTATCCTAAGATGCAAAATAATAAAAATAATAATTAAAAAAAAACAAGACTCTTCTAAGGGGTGCATGTTGTGTACCTTTTCCTGGCTTTTCTTTTTTGAGCATGCAGGTGCATGTGTCAGCCCATATGTGCAGACTCACGGGCAGATGATGTGAAGTACCTTCCCCGAAGAGCAAGCTGAGGAATGTACTAGCAAAGGTAGCTTTTGTTTAACCTTTGTACTGCCTGAATTCTCAGCCAGTGTGGCCCCAAATAAGCTATAGCAGCCTCAGGGATGATGATTATGTTGCCTACAATCCTTCCCAAATCACCCCACAGTCCAGAATAGCCACAGCAAAGGTCTCTGGCTATACTTGCTCCAGGTCACTCACCACCAGCTTTGCTCTGATAAGGTGCTAAGCAACAGCATCACCCCATCAAAGGGAGCTATGTGAGCTTGACAAATCCGGAAATTATTATTTACATCGAGCAGCGTGGACCAAGCCCTATTGCGTAGGTGCTGTATAAACACAGAACAGAGAGCTGGTCCCTGCCCCAAAGCGCTTTTATTTAAGTCCCCGAACATGGCTTCAGGAACCTAATTTAAGGCATCCAGCTCTGGAAACGTCTGTTTTGTGTTCTTTCTTGCCTGCTTATCTCTACAAACAAAAACGCCCCCTCCTCCAAACAACAATGTCGAGATGGGGGGGGGGGGTTATGGCTTTTCCTCCCCCCGCCCCGTAACCCTTCGGCCCAAGGCACTGGGAGACAGAGTGGGGCTGAGATTGTAAAGATCTCAGTGAAACACACAAGCCAAATGCTCTGGAGCCAGGCTACATGGCCACAGAATGCCCCCCCCCCCCCAGCGTGTGTGTGTGTGTGTGTGGGGGGGGGGTCCCTGGAGCACCAGCACGCAGGGCAGGAGGCGAGCAGCCAAGGTGTGCTAGCAGGAGGAGGGAGCACCGCTGGAGCGGGCGCAGTCCAGCTAGCCCCGGGGCTGGCGCGCCACAGGTTACCTGAGTGCAGCCGAGCGGCGCTGGGGGCGGAGGCAGCCCCGCTGCCCAGCAAATGGCTGCGCAAGGGCAGCTGGAGGACTCGCGCGGGGGGCAGCGCGCGGGCCCCCGCCCCTCATAAAAGCATCTGCGCTGGGCTGGGCGCGGGCTGCTTGCTGCACCCTGGGCTTTGTCCGCGCGCGGGGCAGCGGGAGGGGGCCCAGTGCGGGGCTGGGAGGCGGCGGCGACGACAGACGCGACCCTAAGCTCGCAGGGGGGAGTGGCCCATTGCAAATGCAATCGGCCAGGGCGTGTGTCTCGCATGCACGCTAGAGCCTCCGGATGGTCAGGCTTTGTCCCCTGCTAATGACCGTGCTGCTGCGGGGGCTGAAGGGAGCATGACTTTGTAATTCCCTTCCTGGGTCTCCAGCCGCAGGAAGGAGGCTGATTACCAACTGGGGATTTGTCCACTCAGCCCAGGCCTGTTGGGAGCCAGGGAGACGGGCTGGAGTTGTTGCTGCTGCCAGCGTCCTTACCCAACACACCAACAACAGCCTACCCTTCTGGCTTGAGAGGATGGCTGGTGAGTAGGTTTTCTTTCTCTCTCTCACTGAGGATCTTGTTAATTAACTAGGCTTCATTTGATTTTTAAGCCCCTTGTCTTGAATAAACTACATCAGGTGTGGTCGAGCTGTGTAGAGTAGGATAGGTTTCCTCCCCCCCTTTGTTTTTAGGATGCATACGGATTTCCCAATGTTTTTCTTGATAAAAACAATGTCATTTAGTGTGTGCAGTATTTGTTCACAATCGAATACTAGTATGCTGTAATTAGTAGGCCTGGATTAGGATTTGAACCATCTGGCTAGTAGGAGCTAAACTCATTTATCTATAACATATGCAAATATAAAGTCCTTTACCTGGTTTATCAATGGAGATTTCAAAGGTTCATAAGGTTATGTTTGGTATAAAAGCATACTTATTGACTTTCTTGAGCTGGGTGAAGAAAAGCTTTGTTTTATGCTGCTAATAGCAACACAGGTATTATTTATGAATAGCCCTCATTTTAAGAAAAGCCAAGTGGTAGTTTGTTGTAATACAGGACATAGTTGGGTTTGATTTTCCTACCTGCTTATTCTCAGGATCGTTGCCTAATTTGTACCAGGGCTTTGCCAGAGCTGAGCCCCAGCATCTCTAGGCTTGGCAGTTCATCACCACCACCCCTCCCTCCATCTCTGGGCTTGCTGCATAACTTATGAATGTAAAAAGATTGCTTGAGACCCAGCACCTCTTTCATGACAAATGTAAGCACTGCGCAGGATTACTGTGGTATAGAAGTTGTGGTGGAAAAGGTTCCTCACATGGTTTAAAACCGATTCCTCTGACCAATTAAGGAGCATCACTGAGGGCTTTGAAGAGAATTCCACTCTGTTCTGGACCACAAAGGGTACGTCTTCACTACCTGCCGTATCATAGAATCATAGAATATCAGAGTTGGAAGGGACCTCAAGAGTCATCTA